TGGCTTGTTGGCTCCCCTTTCCTGTGACATGCCCCAGAAATTTCAACTACCTCTTCCCATTTTTCTTTTAAATATAATTTTCTTTTTTGTTTCCTCTCTCCAAAACCTTGTTGTTAAAAACTATGTATCCTCACATCTTTCTATAGAACCACATTTCTGTTAGAAGTCTCTTCCTCATCTTTGTCAATTTTTGCTCTTCAAGGACAGATATCATGTAACATTCTATCCTTTCTTTGTGTAATCAAAAGCTTCAATTCTTTAATAACCCTTTTACCTTTTAGAATGCATCTTTGGCTAGCCTTGAAAAATTTTGAAAAATTTTCAAAAAAAGAAACACTTCCCAGATCCCCACCAAATTTTTTTGTCTGATGCATTTGTATTCTTGGCCTGTAATTTGGACCATGAAATCATCTTTTTGCAGATTTGAATTTTGACAAAGTTATAACAATCCATATAATCAAGTTTTTTAGATATAATCTGGAAGAATTGACATTCAATATGGTTTTCTTTAACATTCAGATCAAATCAGACAAACAATCCTTCTTTTATATGTCAATCCCTTTAAACATTGACAATCAATTCCATTTTCTCCACAATTTCCTTTTTTGTAGCTCTTAATAAATTTTTGTCTTTTAGATTCTCCTAAACCCTGTCCTGTGAATAATTACTGAACTCAAAAAGTAAATTTTGCTTTGTTTTCCTGTCCCTTTGCCTCTAAATCATCAAACTTTCCAATGAGTCTTTCCTGATTATGTAATATCTGTCCTTTAAATGGCTCTTCCTGCTGTTAAAATAATATTTGCACTTTATTTCAAGCCAGAAAATATTTTTCTATTGTAAAATTTTTTTATGAAATAATGAAGGAATAAACAAGTCTTACAAATTAACACAGAGCTTCAGGGAAAAGAAACAAAAAGACAATATTCCCAGAATTTGAAATTAATCTAGGACACATATTAGAAAAGAGGGCTTCCAAAAAAGCCATTATCCATTATAATGAAGACAAGAGGAACAGAAGAAAACCTGGTATTTCCTATGTCACCCATTTAGATGTCAGAACAGGGTTTAGATGTTGGAAAAAAGATAAATGAATATTGTGAAACCAGTGTTTCAACATCCTTTGGTTTGTTTCTGGAATATCAAACTCAATGGGGTTTTAATGCTCACAAGATTTTTATTGCTGGTAATAATTTTTTTTTAATCTTTCTGGTAATAACTTTTAAAAAATGTAAAAAATAAAAATAACTTTTTTTTGAAAAAATGTATTGCATCAGGCTTAAAACCTATTTTACACTTTCATCAAACTCCATCTTTTCAGAGGTTAACTATTTGCCCTTCAGTTGGGATTTTTACAAGTCCTACCACCTGGAGGGTTTGTGGGAACACCATCAATTTTTTGTTCCATGCCCCTCAAAACCTTCCATTTGATGGCCTTGCCTTTGTAGTTTATCATCATCTAGGATTTTTCAAAGAAAATTAGACATGATTTATAAGTGCTTTAAACTTGATTTAAAAAAGTTATAGGTTAATGATATGCAAATATTGTAACATTTTATAAAAGGGACACCAGCATTGGATATTTTCTCAGATTAAAAATCCTGTGAATAGTCCAGTTGAATAGATAACATACATTTGTTTTTTAATGTGATTTTATGTAACTGGTATTTTCCTCTTCTTCTCCTCCCCAACTATCTAAATTCCATTGTCTTCATCTTCTACTTAAAAGAAATGGTAACCTCTGTGGAAATTTAATGTAAATGATTTTTCAAAAAACAAAAAACTGAAAAGCGAGTGGATTTCAGGAAGGGAACTAAAATTGGTATTCAGTATTTCAAAGTTTTCTAAAACAATTGTCCAATGGGTCTCTTTCATGGTGTTCTATTGAAATACACAAAACAGACATTGTCTCAAATCAATAAATACATACCCTATTGATCAGCAGGAGAATTCCTCATGTGTTTTTTATTTTTTCATTTTCTGTATTCAACACAAAAAAAATCTTCTTTCTTTAGTCATTGCTTTTTATGATTTCATGACATTTGCTTAACAAGGTCTAATACATGGCACATACCTGGAAGAAATAATTCAAACAGAACTGAAGTAAAAATATGGATCAATAATTTATAATAAATCTACTCTGAAACTTACATTGAGCACTTTTTGTAAAAATAAAAATATCTATCTCCAATACAAGGATTATATATATCTTAAGAGTTCTTTCTTTTTTAAATATATATATAAATAACCTAATAAACTTTTTTCCAGCTACATTTCCAATCATAAAAATGGTTCAGTTGTAACAAGAAATAGTGACAATGCAAAAAAAAACATCATTGAATGGTCATGGTAATATGGATCTGTAGTCACATTTGGTGATTCATTGAGTAATTTGTAGAATAAATTTGTCATTTTGCATCCTTTCCCCGAAAAAAGAAAAAAAAAAAAAATTCATTTTTTCAATCATCTACAAGGAAAATTTACCATTCAAATTGACAAGTTCTTGCAAATTTAAAAAGTGCCATTCACTACAAAATTATAGAAGTAATACTATTCAGGAAATTTTTTTTTAAAAAAATATAAATAACATTACCCACTACTATAGTTTTATGTATTTGATCTTCATTCATTGTATATCCTGTCACTTGGTATCTTAATTATACAATCTTTCATCTGACTTCCCATGAAAAAAAACAATTTGTATAGATTTTTTTTTTTTTTTTTTAATTTCATCGGGTTTTGATTTTTATTTTTATTTTCAATTTGGCATTCATTTTCCTACTTTTTTAAATAAAGAAAACATTTATTTTAAATGCCCAATATAATTTTTTAAAATTAAAAAAACTAATCCCATTCATAATATATAACTGCATCAACATTGCAATAACTAGATATTTTTAAAATTTAAATTACATGAAAATCAGTTGATTCATTGCACCTGAAGATTGTGTTATTTGAAATTCATTGCTATTTTCAATCAGTGAGGGATTTGCCATTTATTAATATTTACCCTAATAGCTCATTTGCCATTCATTACATCAAGCTGTTTTTATTAAACACCAGCCATTCATTAACCGATAGTCAGTATATATTTATATATATATTTATATAAATATATATATATAAATATTTTTTATCTAAAACAATTTTCTTTTAGACATGTTTTATTACAGACAACTTCCAGTACTAATCAAGGTTTTTATTTAATTTTTTTGATGTGTTTGTGGAATGTTTTCTATCTTGATTATGTATTAAACTGTTTGAATTTCTGCACATCCAAACACTTATTCTTTAGCCTCAATTTTTGGTTTCTGTTATTTTTATTTTCTTTATTTGTGAATGTATGGGTTGTGTTCAGAACGTATCTAAGGATATAAAAATGTTTTTATTTCTTGAACATGGTATTGTGACATTAACGTCATGTTCATAGTTAATGTTATTGAGTGTTAACTTTTTTTTTTAACATTTAAATCTTGACTTTTTAATCTTTTTTTACTGGATGACACTTAAACCCACTTTTCAAGATAAAATTGAATGAATATGGACAAGATGTAGATTTCTAAGCATTTATTCAAACTTGAGAAAAATTTAAATCTTGTCCAGTCAGAGAGTCATGTTTTATGAAGTAATTTCGGGTGGTTGAGATTGATGAAAAACATGTTTTATTCAAGCTTAAAACAGGATGCTGATTTAGATAATAATTTTTCACTTGAAGATAATGATGAGAAGATGGATCGCATGTGGCCTGAAAGAAAAGAGAATTAAATATTTTTTTTATCTTTTTCTGGAGATTTGATTTCTCCATAAAATAAATCCATACAGCCATTTCTTGATGCTTTTGGCAGCGTCCAGCAGAAACTGGATGATAATAATTTTTTTTCAAGGGGATGATCATTTCCATAAATTGAATTCACCTAAAATTTAAAGTAGTTGAGATGGTTAGCTTTTAGTTAAGGTTCAGACTGCCCCTTGTTACGGGCCCTAGAAAGAGATTGGTCAACTGGATCAAGTGACAACCTAAAGAAAGTAGTAACAGGTAGTTTCTAAGGAAGTTGGAGGAAGAAGAGGAGGTGGCAGTTATGAGTAGAAGTCAGAGATGCCAGAGAAGGCAAGTTGGAGTTTGATGGGTGGATTAACCCTCTCACTGTCACTAAGGGGCTGGATAATTGTCCAAAATTGGAAAATTTCAGTTGAGACAAAGGAATGGTTGATATTTCTATACCAATCAGCCCCCCTCATGCAGTTTTGTGTGAAGTATTATAAAAACAGGGGATTTTGAGGCTTTCAGGAGAACAGGTCTGCAGGTCGAGCAGAGTAGAACCACAGGTTGGGCAGAACAGATCAGCAGATTCCAGAATAGTTCAGGAATAGTTCACATAAGAACTCTGAGAAAGAGTTACACTAGGATTTGAATCAGAATGTGCCTAAGAACTGACTAGGCTACCTCCAGAACCCATGATCATGTGCCAGCCTAAAACCAACAATTAGGCACCCAGAGTGAGCATCTAAGAGCCCTTGTCTTAAGGTATAATCATCCATCACGCCCACGGCCTTTTTTTTTTTTTTTTTTTTGAAGCTTGTATTTTTCTGATATTACCTTGTATAAATGATTTGTTAAAGTTGAAAAGAGTTGTCGTCTCCCGCATTACATAACTGTCAGAGCCGCCATTATCCGTAGTATACCAACTCTTACAGCAGATTTCTGGTTGTTTGAGATCAGTCACAAACTGGGCATCCAACTGGATTTTTTGACAACTATAGAAGTCAGTGCCACCAACGGCTGATGGAAGAAATCTGATATCAATGGCAATTATCAGATATTCAGCGAACTCTTTAACTCATCAGCTGACTGGATAGCGATATAGTATTTTAAGGTTTGAAAAATATTTCAAAGCTTTCTTAAGCATAAAAATGGTAGAGAAAGGATGTCCTTGAGGTTTGTAAAATGATGTGGAGACTAATTTTAGCCTAAAATTACTCTAAAATGTAAAAAATTGATTTACCTTTTTGAGTTGTATCTGATGAAATTTTGTTTTCATTATTATCATCATCCAAATAGACTGGAGCGCCTGGAAGTAAGGTCTGCAAAATAAAAAACAATATTTGGAAAGACATAACAAAAAGCATCTATAACGTTTTGTCAGTGATTAATCGTTTTCCACCCTACAGCCTCTTTCCTCTTCGTTGGTCTATTGCTATTTCCATAGCATGTGTTCTGACAAGTTAAATTCCATGGTTTCACCACCTGGGTCCTTTGCAACTGGGAACTGCCATGCCGTGTACACAAGAATGAATCCCTCTCACTCCCTTCATATTTCACTAGTAAGAAGTTCCACTCTTCCTAAGAACTGCTGCTTTGTGGAACAAACTCCAGACAGGATGTTTCCACCCCCCACTCCACGATCACCACAATCTAACCCTCTTCAGATGAACTGTCATCTTTCCTACATAACCTCATAAATTTCACTTCTTACTTTTTCTCATGTTCATACAACACTACATAGTAACCCTTTACACCTCAAGTGGCTCCTGAGCCTTGTATTGGCTGAGCGTTAGTATATAAAAATATCCTCCAAAATTAATTTAAAGAAGATTAGTCTCACCTGTGTATAATACGTCCTGGACACGTTTGAACCAAGAAGTTGAGTCTCGATGGCCTTCTGTATACTCTCGATGATACTGCCTTCATTAAGGAAGTGGACCTCATGCTTGGTTGGATGGACATTAACATCCACATTCTGAGGGGCAATCTCTAGACTCAGGTAGATAAATGGGTGGGAGTTTTTGGGAAGATAGGCTTGGTAAACAGCATCTAATGCTTTTCGAATTGCTGAGGAATCCACTAAGCGATCTGGAATGAAAACAAATTTTTTTTTAAGTTTTGGAAGGAAAAAACTGTCAAATGATTAAAAAAAAAAAAAAAAAAAAAACACACTTTGATATAAAAACAAATACCAAAATAACTAGTGATCAAAAAAGTTACTAACCATTGACTGAAAAATTATCATTCTGGCAGTGGGGATATTTAAAATTCTTCTTAAAAAAAATATCTTTAAACTTAGTAAATATATACAATAAGCAGGTCTGTACAGTAAGAGTTAGTAAGCTAGTATCAAGTTGTTGCTAGTATAGTGAGCTTGAGTGCCTACTAGTTCTGTACCCAGGTATGTACTGTCAATAATTACTCAAGACAGAAAGTTAGTTGACCTCTATTCAGTAACCTGTCAACAAATCTCTCTTGCTCGAAAAGATAAATTAAAATATTTTTAAAAGAAATTTTGATTATGATCTGATATAAGATAGGGAAAAATTTTAAAAAATTTCACTCAATATATATATATATATATATATATATATATATATATATATATAAATATATATATATATAAAAAAAAAGATTTATTAAAATGAATTAATTTTCCTTGTTTTCTGTGTTAAACATTCTCTTTTTTGTGTGGTAGTGACACAAAAAGAGAATGTTTAACATAAAAAACTTAAGGAAAATTAATTCATTTTAATATGTAGAAATCAAAATATTACTCATTATTTTATTAGTGTACAAAAATTAAAATCTATGCACTCAATACAAAGAAAGTTACAACAATTTTAAAACAGTAGGTGTTCATGATTTTGCACCCTCAAAAAAAAAAAAAAAAAAAAAAAAAAAAAAAAAAATAAATGGATTGACAGCATTTTTGGATTCACACAATCTTTTGAAATCGCTTATATATATATATATATATATATGTGTGTATATATATATATGTGTGTGTGTATATTTATATATGTGTATATGTAACAGGGCAGTGGTCCTGGTTGAGTAATACTAGTGCATAGAAAGTGGTTAGTGACATCAGGTATTGAGATGCTTGATAACTGAGTGAAGGAGTAGAAATATTAGGAGGGGAAAAATGGGAAAGTGGTTATTTGGACTGGAGTCTGATGAAAAAAATGTATGGTTTAAAAATATCCATTTAAGCCCATAAAATACTTATAAAGAAGGGCTTCGGAAGAGTTTGAACTCAAATTAAACTAAGTAAGATTTAGCATAACTGATACCCTCGGCCCAACTCCAGAGCCCCAGGGAAGTTGGCATGACATGACTAATGAGTTTGCCAAAAGCCGACAGGTTTTTCCGTCGCTGTAAGGTTTGTTTATATAGAAACCTATTTGTCATATTTGCATTCATTTCCATGTAATTTTGGAAACTGAAAAGCACTTTATACATGGCCATCAGTTTTACATAACAGAAGGTTCTTTGTTCAAGAATCTAATTAATCTTTTCTATCTCTGGGATGGAAGTCTATTATAAATGGAGTATGCATGCACACAAGTTGGTGAGTTGAACAAAACAAATTAGCTCAGTTGAAGTTGGTTTATGGATTGATTCGTTCATTTTCTGTGGCTTATCAACTCTTTGCAGTTTATTTAAAGCCAGAAAATATTTTTAGATTGTAAGATTTTTTTTTTTGATTTAATAATGTTTTAGTGATACAAGTCTTACTAATTAACCCATAGCTGGGGAGAGAAGAGGTGGATTCATGCCATTCTCAAGGGCATTTATGTCTAAGGGAATATAATGAACCCAACTAGAATTGGAACTCAGCTCTCTTATTAACAATTCCATGACATTATCCATTACACCACCTGCACATCCAGGCTTAAGGCACTTGCTATTCCTAAGTGGTTATCCATCTAGGTACTGACAAAGCTCAATGTTGCTTAACTTTGGTGATTGTACAAGAACCAATGTTTTCTGAGTGATATGGCAATAACCCTGGAATTAGTGAGTTGAAGAGGGATAGATGGTTGTCAAGTGAAAACCAGTATACCCTTTTCATAGTTGATATTATTGAAAAATAATGGAAGCATTATTAATAAAAAAAGAAGCCAACACCCAATAATATCAACTATGAACACAGCCAACAATGAGCAGAGCATGCTTGTAAAATAAAACATTCCTATAACTCTAGATACACACATAAAACAATCCATGCATTCAGTTAAAAATAAAAATAAAATCATCCTTTATAATGGCTAAAAGTATCGCCAAAAATGCTTTATTTTTGTTAGTTGTTCAAGTTCATTTGAGAAATAGGATGAAAAGAAAGTATGTATATTTCATTTAACACCCCCCACCAATACATTTCCAATACATTTGCTTTTCTCCTCCTCTACTTCTATCACACCTCATGTCGTGAGCTTATTCTTTTATCTATTTATTTTTTGAAAAATACAGTGCTCAAAAATTTTTTATTTTTTTAAAAAAATAAAGCATTAGGAAATCAATTGACTGAAATTGCTTGAAGATACCGAAGGGTTGAAACCAAGGTAGCGGAATCGGTTGATCTCGTAATTTTTTAAATACTTTTTTATATATATTTTAAAGAAAAACAGACCACTTTAAGGCTCCATTATAATAATTTATTTCACCAGAGCCCTTTATATATATATATATATATATATATATATATATATATATATATATATATATATATATAAAACCGAGTGTAACAGCAAAATGGCCTAAATCATATTACAGCATAATCGTCTATCCCACAAAATGTTTAATATCTAAAAAAAAAAAAAACCATTAAACTAATTAATTTCTTTTACCAGGTTTTCAGTTAAGACACTTAGCCATCTTTGATACCATTTGTCGTAAGAATCACTGAAAAACCAAAACTTATTCACTTAAAAAGAGAGCAGGTTAAAACTGTTTTGTGTCAGACCCATTGTCTTCCCAACTGAGCAATGGTGAGAAGAAAAAGATCATTCAGGCCTTCAGTAATGATACCAACATTTATACTTTGGCTTCCATCTTCAAAGTCCATTCAAGAACCATCAAAAGAATGGTGAATAAGTTTAAAAAAGTGGGAACTATAGAGAGGAAAACTGGACCAGGCGGTCACAACAGGATGAGGAATCAACACTTCAACTTAGAGCTAAAGAGATCAATTAGAAAAGATCCAACTCAATCCATAAGAAATGTGGCACATGAGAGAGGAGTTTCAGCTGTAACAGTCTAAAGAGCAGTGAAAAAAAGACTTAAAAATGAAATCATACATGGAATGTGTAAGGCATCTTGTTACTCCAGGACAGATTGATTGACTGATTTTGTTTAGTGGCATATCAACATCTCTATGGGTTATTTAATGCTAAAATCTAAATATTTTGATTGGTTTGGTTGGCTGCTTTTGTTTAGTGGCATATCAACATCTATGGGTTATTTAATGCCAAAATCTAAATATTTTGCACACAATTTTATGGCTTCAACTATATATATTTTAAGAAGCAATTGTATACTTTTAACTACAGACAAAATGTATTGTTGGTCATTTTGTTATAAAATGCATTGTTGGTAATTCAGTTATAAATTGTATTGTTGGTAATTCTTAGTATAAATATGTATTGTTGGTAATATTTTATATAAAAATGAATTGCTGGTATTTTTTACTATGAAAACATATTTTTATACTTTCATAGTGTTTTGTTTTTGTTTGGGGGTTCACTATTTACCGATAACTGGGACCCTAACAGGTGCTACCAGCCTGGGTCAAGGTAGACCTGGTAACAACAGCAATTAAGATGTGGTTCCACACTCCTCAAAACCTCCAATCTTCCGATCAGAGGTCTTGCTGCTGGATGTAGTTTATTGTCATACCCAGGACTAGTATTGTGTTGTTCTATAACATGATCAGTAGTCAACTTCTTGTCTGTCTCTTAGTTTACTATACCCAATATATTTCTTCTACTAACACGTAAATAGGTTCAATCCTATTTACCAATCTACTACACCTCCCTGAACCAAAGAGGTTTAATGCCTTTGGTTGTTTATGAACTTCTTCTACAACCTCTTTTCTCCTCTTCCCCTTGAGGTCTATTCTTTTTAAAGGACATCTTGGTCTCATTTCATTTTCTTCCGTGTGTAAGTTACTACCACTATCATCCATAGGCTAGTCTTCTATTGCATTATTCTGATCTGAAGAACTCATCCTTTCTTCTCTGTCAAGGTCTCCTTCCATCACAATGTCTTCCTCTTTAATTTGGGGTCTTTATTGGATAGAATGGGCTATAGGCTTTTTCCTTTCTTTGATATAATGGCTGTGTTATGCTCCCCTTTGCATAAAAATTATCTGTCTCAGGACTTGCTACTTTGTCTTTCTTATACCAGATTCTTTTATTTGTCAAACAAAACATTGTTAATGTAGATCTTATTTTTCTACTTATTAAGCAGATTGTCTCTGCAATGTCTGCATGTGGAATTGCCCTATAACTAAGCAGTAACCTTGGAAAATAACCGTTTATAGTATCTCTATTTGAGGAAAATGTTTTAATCCCATTTTTAATGTCTGCATCATTCATTTGCATTCTATTAGATTGTGGGTGATATGGTGGTGTTTTGTAAAGAAAGTAGTCTGCCTCAACCAATTAGATAGATCTTCATCACAAATTTCTTTTTCCAAAAGTAAAGCACTTTCATCGGTCACTTTCATGTTCATAGTTACAGTATTTGTATTTCTTGTATTACTTTTTTATATTGTACGTTTCAAAATTGTCCTCAGTAGAATTATATTCTTTTATCAATTCCAGCTATTGTATAACTTTCACACATGCAGTTAGAAACAAATTATTCAATTGTAATTGTTCCAATATCTTATATTTATGAAATGTATCAGCCATTCCTTCAAAAAACTTTAACTGAATCAATTCATCCTCGATAGTCAAATC